TATGTGCCAGGCATTGTGGGGATACAAAGAAAAGTATGAAATTGTACCTGCTCACAAGGACCTCAGCATTTAATGAGAGAGACATCTGTAAACATGTTTGTACCATCAAAATGAAAATGGGATAAATTTGGGAGAATGTCAGCAGAAAAATTTTAAGATAAAGAAGAATTGGAAAAGCCTGCTTGATGAAGGTGGGACTTTAGCTGAGATGTGAATGATGCTTCTTTTACTAGGAGATAAAGAAGGGAAAGGAAAGCATTCCAGCAAAGGGGAGGAAGGAGAGTCAGTGAAAATACTTGAGGTCAAGAGATGGAGTGTCTGGAACAACAATGAAACCAGTGTCACTGGACCAGAGCATGTAGGGAAGGAAGGAAAGAAGTAGGTGCTATTATCATCCCCATTTTACAGTTGAAGACTGAGGCTAACAGGTTAAGTAATTTGCCTAGGGTCACACAGCTAGTAAGTATTAGGTCAGATTTGAACTCAGGTCTGCTTGACTTTAAATCCAACACTCTTTTCCACTGTGCCACCACCAAACTGCCTCATCTCTGGTATCTTTGTCACTCTCATTATTATTTCCTTATTACAAGCTTCACTTGCATTTTATACAAGTCACAGGTTATGGAGGAGAGAATGTGATGGTCTCTACTCAGCCCAGATTTAATAATGTATCACTGCCACAGAAGATTCACTTCCCTCCCTAATGCCCAGCCAAGCTACACTGGGTATTTTGCACATATTTCTCATGGCTGCAGCAGAACCACTTAGGGCACCCCTAATCCAGTTCTTTTAGATTGTACTCTTATGGTAAACATCAGGCTTCAAACATTAACCTTTGGCCAGCTCATTCCCATCCACAGTAGTTTCATATTTTAGTGTTTACTAACTTGTGTGGGACATATCAGACTCAAAGAATTAAGGGTCTTCAAGACAAGTGAGACTTTCCCAGAAACTCTCACTAATCATTACATGGGCCATCAATAATTCTGAGGGACCCTCCAATCAGAAACTGATCCTGTGGCAACTGATAAGTGTTATTCCTTTCCATCTTCATAATTAGAAGATCCTACCTCCTCTTACCTTCTCAACCTCCAGTAGGCACCATGTTTATAATAATTTCATCAGTGGAATTATCTTTTACCTTCTCCCAATAAACAAAAACACACACAAAGTATACCATGCCAAATTCAGAAAAGTATAAGCACTCTACAGAATGAAAAAATGGTGGTAGGGGGGATGGAATTTGAAAATTAGCCAGCTGTTGAAATTACTATTAAAAAAACAACATTTTAAGCAAGGAGATAGCATTATCAGGGAGAGTGCATTGCTTGTATTCACTTGGAAAATGTAACAGCCACCTCTGAAAAGTTATGACTTGGTTT